AGGAATAACAAGTGAAATATCCACTAAAGCAAAGCTTAAGTATATAACACCAACACGGTGGACATCTCTCGGGTCTCTTAATTGCTCTCGGACTCCATGGGAGTTTGTGCTACACATTTTTAGAAATGGACGGAGATGACGTGCTCGATTTTTCAACTCGCGTGGTCGGGTCTGGCTCAGTTCCTCCTCTTTCAACTCGAACAAATGGACCTATAGGACAAAAACACAAAAATATCAAATACAAATAAAAACACGCAAAACAACTAAAATGGACCATTTGAACAATAAAACGACCTGGAACCGACTCAACTAAGCACATAAAACACATAAAAATAAGCACAAAAACACGACAAACATTCGGGCAAATAGACGACCTCCTACTTCCTGCAATCCTTACTGATCTTTAACTTTGAACTGTTACAAAATGTAGTTGGAAATGCTTGTATTTTATGACAATACAACTTATCTACTATATTATAAAGTAGATAATACAGTGTGCAGTGTCACACTGAACATCGTATTATTGTATGCAACATATTAACAATTCCTTATAAGATATAAAAATGGTTCACCATCAATATTTGAGATGTTAAACAGGCCAACCCTTGCGGTTTCGAGTTGGCCCTAGCGGGCTTCGGGCTAAACGGTCCGGGCCTAAAAAGCCCGAATTTAAACGGGCTACTAATAAAAGGACATAACCCTAACTCTAACGGGCTTCGGGCTATAATAATAATAACATATAAAAAATATATAAATAAAAATTACAAGCGGGCTTTATGTATGAACACTAGTTACAAACTCTTAAGTGATATATTTTTCTCAAAAGAAAAAAAAATGTCGAACTATTACTTATAATTACCATTTTACTACTTATTTTTGTACACTTTGGAAATTTTCATGATATTGTATTTTACTGTTAAATTTATATTTTATCACTATGTTCTATATGTTAGGTCCGTGTCTTATGTGTTTTCTATTAGCCATTCTAATTGGTTTAAATAATTTGGTGTGAACTAGAATAACGAAATTGTTAATAATTATCATTCAAAATCATAATAACCCGCTACAACTCATAGTTACATATGAAGTAGAATAGTAAAGTTGTAATATACAAGTTAAACGGGCTAGTCCTAGCGGGCTTCGGGCTAGCCCTATCGGGCTTCGGTCTAAACGGTCCGAGCCTAAAAAGCCCTGATTTAAATGAGCTACTAAAAAAATGCCCTAACCTTGTTTTTATTCGGGCTAAACGGGCCGGCCCATCGGGCATTATCAATTTTTTATGTAACTATTAATATTTTAAAAAATAAAATTTATTATAATTTTTTGTTACTATGATAAATATTCATAATAAAAATGGGAATTGTAGCACATACTACTATTATTTTTGAGAAATAAAAAAAAAAAAAAAAAAAGCAATGAAAAGAGGAAGATAAAAACTAGGAGTGCAGTGAAACCCTAGCTAATGTAGTTGGTGTCTCTATATATAAGCCCCCTCCCCTTATTACTCATTACTTCGCCTAAGACTTGCGGCTCTCTCATCTCCATTGCTCTGTGTATAAAAATCACATCTTTCTCCTATAATCTGTTTGTTTTTTATATATTTCTAAGATTTATTCGTTTAATTTTCTCTCAGTTTATTTTCTGAATTTCTTGTCTTGCCAATGAAGATTTGTTGTTATATAATCAATGATATATTAATCGATGATTATAACCAAACTACTGCCTTCCTTCTGAGGCATCAATTGTTTGTGATGTTTTTTTTGTTATTTTTTTTATATCATTAAATTTTCCGAAAAAGATTGAAAAGAAAGAGGATCATGTGATGTTCAAAAGCATAGTTCAAATGATCTAAAATTTGATTATAAAAAAAAACGCTAATTAGTCTTTCGCTCCTATCTGATGATTCCTCTTCAAATTTTTTATTTTTTTATTTTTTTGGGACAAGGATGAGCATGATATTGGTCTCGTTCGTCGTAACGGTGTCGTTTTGATACCTTGTCGACCATTCTGATATATCACCACCCATAAACTGAGTCCCTTCTGATCTTATTGCATCCATATTTTTTTTTGTGGGTTTTTTAAGGTGTTATTTATGGCCAATGATTAAACCTTTTAACTAATGACAAGCATATGTCTGAAATTTTATTTGTTGAAAGTCTAATCTTCTCAATGAGGCCATACTTACATCATAGTTTAGTTTTTTTTTTGTTACGGAATTATTTTGTCGGATTTTTAACGGTTAGATCATTATGTAACCTTTAAGAATATTGTCGTCTAACTGTTAGAGATAGTTGATCTAATGAATGGTTTCGTAACAAGATTGTAGCATTTTTTTGTATTTGGTTATTGCTATTTTGGTTAAATTTGGGACTAGGATGATTGTTGCTTTATTTCTGACACCTCTTGTATGAGAAGAGCAGTTTTGCTCTTCTTTGAGCACATAAAGCATCTATCTGAGCCCGTGTATTTGTCTCTGTTTCGTCTTTTTTGTTCTTGTTGTTGTGTTGTTTGTGGAAAATGTTACAATTTTATTATGAAATCACTCTGTCGGGATTTGTAACTATTAGATAATGCAACTGTCATGCATATTTGATGTAACGGTTACAAATTCCGATAGAATCATGTGTAGAATCTCCGGTAGTTTGTTGTTTTGAGTAGAAATTCAGGCAACCACCATCTTTGATTTGAGTAAAATGGGTGGTGTTAATCTGCTCATACAGAGAATTTTACTTTAGCTCTTCAGACTTGCTGAATCTTTTATTATGAAGCTTGTCTAGTAAGCTTAAGCACACTCACTTCTAAGAATTTGGTTATTGATTTGTGTTTGTTATTTGAAGAAGGATATGCTTCGTTATCTGGTTGATTTGGGTATTGTTTTGGTCCCTCTCGACTCGTTCCCTTGAAGCTAAAGTACGTGTGTTGCACTCGCTATGCTTCCAATATCATCATTTTTTTGGAGTTGGAAGTACACTGGTGCAACTACATAACACTTTCCTCACATTTCAACTCATTAATTTTAACTTAGCTTCTTTTATTATTTATCCTTTGAAAATGACAAATATGATGAGTTTTTGCATACTTGTAATGATTTGTGGAGTGATTTCATTAGGTTTATATTGATGATATTATCAATTTAAGCTTTATAGTGACAAATATGTAAGATGAGTTGCTACATTTATTTGTAGAAGCAATTTGATATGTTTTGCCATTATATGTTGTCTTTTATTTCCATGAGTGAATAATTACTTGTTAAAAAAATGACATTAACCTTCTACAGCCCAGTGTTTATTAAAAATTGACATAAAGCTTGTACAGCTTAGTGTTTATAAAAATACGAGTATTTTTAAGTTGTGTATGGATAATTTGTACGGTTGAATTAGATGTCTTTAATTTTAGCAGGTTAGTAATTAATAGCAAGTTTTTTCATGCACCGGTGCGTAGGGGAGTTCTACAGTGGGTTGATGAAAAAAAGAGGTAGAAGTCGGCCTAAATTCACTTGAGAAGCAAAAGTATGTGTGTTGCACTCGCTATGCTTCCAACATCATCATTTTTTGAGTTGGAAGTACACTGGTTCAACTACATAACATTTCAACTCTTAATTTTATTAAGCATTAAGTTGGTTTAGTAAGCTTAAGGACACTCACTTGTGTGATTCTTTTACTTGTAAGGATTGTTTATTTTCTTTTATTTGTTAAATGAAAAAGGACATGCTTCGCTATCTGGTTGATTGTGTATGATTTTTGGTCCCTCTCAACTCGTTCCCTTGAAGCAAAAGTATGTGTTGCACTCGCTATGCTTCCAATATCATCCTTTGTTGAGTTGGAAGTACACTGGTGCAACTACATAACACTTTCCTCACATTTCAAGTCTTAATTTTGTTTGTTTTTTTTCCCCCTTTAAAATGACAATTACGATGAGTCTCTGCTTGTGTAGTGATTGCAGGCATGATAACAATATTTGTGAACCTGTGGTCTACAAAAACGTATGCTGCATCTGTTCATATTTGCATTGATATTAACCTTGTTATAGACTCATTTCTTTCCTTTTTTGTCCCGTGATAACTTGTGGGTCATTGTAATTTGTACGAATATTAGCCCAATTGGTTCAGTTAGAACCACATAGCCAAGACGAACAAACACTTTTGGCTCAGGAAGAAAAATAGCACGGTGTTCGGTCGACTTCTGTTTGGTCTGTAAAAAAAACTGTTTTCAGGGAGAAAATGAGAAATAAGAGGCAAATTGTTAAAGAAAGAGGACATCAAATAGGTCAGTCTTGGATGTGAAAATAATTCACTTGAAAAATTATTTATGAACGAATATATGAAAAAGAAAAACAATTCTGATTCTTGAAACAATGGTTTGCCTCATAGGTCAAGACATTCACATAGCCATGTGGATGAAAAATACTTGGATCATTGGAACTTGGAAAGTAACCTAAAAATATTTTTGAGATTTAATTGAAAACGGTTTTGCAATGGAGTCATATTGACACGTGTCTTGTAATAAATGAACATTAGGTATATGTCAGTATATAAAATTATGAATAACTTTATAAGAGAGTCATTCGATGGTTTCATAAAATTTCTGCTATCGCAATTCTTATTACTAAAGGTTTTATTAGTTATACAAACCATTGTCTTGGTGTTTTCATATTACGAACCATTGTCTTGGTGTTTTCACGTTAGTTTGGCCTTCTAAGTAAACCCTTTTTATATGGATAGATAAAAAGTTTCTCTTTTACTAGGAATTGCATATTTAGTTCTATAGAATTGCGTTTTTTTAAGTTTATAAACTCATGCTTTTTTTTTTTTGAGGAATTTGCATTCTTTA